CCACCAGCATCATACCCCACCACCAGCATACCCCACCACCAGCATCATACCCCACCACCACCAGCATCATACCCCACCACCAGCATCATACTCCACCACCACAAGCATCATACCCCACCACCAGCAGCATACTCACCACCAGCATCAAACCCCACCACCAGCATCATACCCCACCACCAGCATCATACACCACCAGCATCATACACCACCACCACCAGCATCATACCCCACCACCAGCATCATACCCCACCACCACCAGCATCATACCCCACCACCAGCATCATACCCCACCACCAGCATCATACCCCACCACCAGCATCATACCCCACCACCACCAGCATCATACCCCACCACCAGCAGCATACCCCACCACCAGCATAATACTCACCACCAGCATCAAACCCCACCACCAGCATCATAACCCACCACCACCAGCATCATACCCCACCACCAGCATCATACCCCACCACCACCAGCATCATACACCACAAGCATCATACCCCACCACCAACAGCATCATAGCCCACCACCAGCATCATACCCCACCACCAGCAGCATACCCCACCACCAGCATAATACTCACCACCAGCATCAAACCCCACCACCAGCATCATAACCCACCACCACCAGCATCATACCCCACCACCAGCATCATACCCCACCACCACCAGCATCATACACCACAAGCATCATACCCCACCACCAGCAGCATACTCACCACCAGCATCAAACCCCACCACCAGCATCATAACCCACAACCCCCAGCATCATACCCCACCACCAGCATCATACCCCACCACCAGCATCATACCCCACCACCACCAGCATCATACACCACCACCACCAGCATCATACACCACCACCAGCATCATACCCCACCAACACCAGCATCATACCCCACCACCAGCATCATACCCCACCACCAGCATCATACCCCACCACCAGCATCATACCCCACCGCCACCAGCATCATACACCACCACAAGCATCATACCCCACCACCAGCAGCATACTCACCACCAGCATCATACTCCACCACCACAAGCATCATACCCCACCACCAGCATCATACCCCACCACAAGCATCATACCCCACCACCAGCATCATACCCCACTACCACCAGCATCATACCCCACCACCAGCATCATACCCCACCACCAGCATCATACCCCACCACCAGCATCATACCCCACCTCCGGCATCATACCGCACCACCACCAGCATCATACACCACCAAAAGCATCATATCCCACCACCAGCATCATACCCCACCACCAGCAGCATACTCACCACCAGCATCAAACCCCACCACCAGCATCATAACCCACAACCCCCAGCATCATACCCGACCACCAGCATCATACCCCACCACCAGCATCATACCCCACCACCACCAGCATCATACCCCACCACCAGCATCATACACCACCACCACCAGCATCATACACCACCACCAGCATCATATCCCACCACCAGCATCATACCCCACCACCAGCATCATACACTACCAACACCAGCATCATACCCCACCACCACCAGCATCATACCCCACCACCACCACCAGCATCATACCCAATACCTTTCAGCTGCAATAGCAGCAGCCTCGGTTGATCCACTGCTGAATGAGTGGTCTCACTGTCCCACCACATTCTACAACACTACTACCCCCCCACCAACTCTCCCCACCCCCCCACTCTCCCCCCACTCTTCACCCCCCCCCACTCCCCCCCCCCCCCCCACTCTCCCCCCACACTCTCCACAGGAGGGTAGGGTAAGCGACTTGGAGGTTGTGTGATGGGTGGGACTCCTGTGCAGGGTGTTGGAGGTGGATAGGGTAGGCGACTTGTTGGTGGGTTCAGCACCTGTGCAGGGCGAAGGAGGAGGGCGGGTGACGGCGTGGAACGGCACCCAGAGGTCTACGACCATGGGGAGGAGAAGACCTGAAGCCGGAGGACGGTGGTGGTGATGGTGATGGTGGTGTTGTTGGTGGTGTTGTTGGTGGTGTTGTTGGTGGTGCGTCTGTGATTAGTGGGCATTGAAATGCGCGTGTCGACTTCCCAACGACCACACAATTTGGCAGAAGGACCGAAGCGATGGCATGGGGAGGGTGGCATCAATGGAATTGTCGACAGTGACCTTTCGACCTTGACTCACCATCACCGTCGGCATCATCATCTCCCACCCCCCCACCCACCCCCCATACCTAACAAATTATAAAGCGGAGATCTATTTTGAGACCCGATAATCACATTGCCCAGATCGTTGCAGCGGCGGGCCGCCTCGGATGCTTCCCCGCGAGTGGGGGGGTGGGTGGTGTCTGTCACGTGGGCTGGGGGTCTCCCGGGTGTCAGTGCGTATCTCTATGGGTCTCTGTGTATCTCTATGGGTCTCTGTTATGTGTCTCTGTGTACCTCTATGGATTATTGTGTACCTCTATAGGTCTCTATGGGCCTCTGTGTATCTCTATGGGTCTCTGTTAAGTGTCTCTGTGTACCTTTATGGATTATTGTGTACCTCTATAGGTCTCTATGGGTCTCTGTGTATCTCTATGGGTCTCTGTTAAGTGTCTCTGTGTACCTCTATGGATTATTGTGTACCTCTATAGGTCTCTATGGGTCTCTGTGTATCTCTATGGGTCTCTGTTATGTGTCTCTGTGTACCTCTATGGATTATTGTGTACCTCTATAGGTCTCTATGGGCCTCTGTGTATCTCTATGGGTCTCTGTTAAGTGTCTCTGTGTACCTCTATGGATTATTGTGTACCTCTATAGGTCTCTATGGGTCTCTGTGTATCTCTATGGGTCTCTGTTAAGTGTCTCTGTGTACCTCTATGGATTATTGTGTACCTCTATAGGTCTCTATGGGTCTCTGTGTATCTCTATGGGTCTCTGTTATGTGTCTCTGTGTACCTCTATGGATTATTGTGTACCTCTATTAGTCTCTATGGGTCTCTGTGTATCTCTATGGGTCTCTGTGTATTTCTATGGGTCTCTGTTATGTGTCTCTGTGTACCTCTATGGATTATTGTGTACCTCTATAGGTCTCTATGGGCCTCTGTGTATCTCTATGGGTCTCTGTTAAGTGTCTCTGTGTACCTCTATGGATTATTGTGTACCTCTATAGGTCTCTATGGGTCTCTGTGTATCTCTATGGGTCTCTGTTAAGTGTCTCTGTGTACCTCTATGGATTATTGTGTACCTCTATAGGTCTCTATGGGTCTCTGTGTATCTCTATGGGTCTCTGTTATGTGTCTCTGTGTACCTCTATGGATTATTGTGTACCTCTATAGGTCTCTATGGGTCTCTGTGTATCTCTATGGGTCTCTGTGTATCTCTATGGGTCTCTATTATGTGTCTATGTGTACCTCTATGGATTATTGTGTACCTCGATTAGTCTCTATGGGTCTCTGTGTATCTCTATGGGTCTCTGTTATGTGTCTCTGTGTACCTCTATGGATTATTGTGTACCTCTATAGGTCTCTATGGGTCTCTGTGTATCCCTATGGGTCTCTGTTATGTGTCTCTGTGTACCTCTATGGATTATTGTGTATCTCTATAGGTCTCTATGGTCTCTGTGTATCCCTATGGGTCTCTGTTATATGTCTCTGTGTACCTCTATGGATTATTGTGTACCTCTATAGGTCTCTATGGGTCTCTGTGTATCTCTATGGGTCTCTGTTGGAGAGTCAAACCGGTGGTGCTGTACTAGTGACGAATTGGCACGTTCTGCTTACGTGACAAACCTTACTAATTGTGGGTTTCACGTCCCGCTCTTCGGCAACGAGACGCTCACTCATCGTCCAGCACTCTAAAACTAAGCTTTAACTTTTTTTTATTTAACCAGGTAAGACGCACTGAGCTATATCGATGTTTTTTTTTTCAGAAGCGACCTGGCTATCACAAATGAGAGCCCAACGAAGTGGGCTTATCGTCATCACCATCATCACGTGGAATTTTATAGCCGGATGCCAGATGCTCGAAACGCGTGGTGATGTTGATACTAAATGTAGAAGGGGAAAAACAGCCAGAGGACCCGGAGAGAAATCCACGCGACCACGGGGAGAAAGAGAGAGAGAAACGCAAACTATAAATATACAGCAGGCCTCAGGGATCGAATCCACGACCTCCTGTATACCAGGCGAAGTAGTTAACATCGCCTAGCCACGATGATGATGATGAGAGAGAGAAAGACAAGCAAACTCCAAATATACAACAGGCGTCAGGGTCGGGATAGAACCCACGACCTCCTGCGTACCAGGCGAGGTAGTTAACATCTCCTAGCCACCGTGATGATGATGAGAGAGAGAGACACGCAAACTCCAAATATACAGCAGGCGTCAGGGTCGAGATCGAACCCACGACCTCCTGTATACCTGGCGAGGTAGTTAACATCTCACAATCGTGGCGCCCCTTGACCTTGATGCGTGTGTGTGTCTGTGTGTGTGTGCGTGTGGGGAGCGGTAGTGTAGCGGTTAGCGCTATGCTGCGCTACGATCCTGGTGACCAAAGTTCATGATGATGAGAGAGAGAGACACGCAAACTCCAAATATACAGCAGGCGTCAGGGTCGAGATCGAACCCACGACCTCCTGTATACCTGGCGAGGTAGTTAACATCTCACAATCGTGGCGCCCCTTGACCTTGATGCGTGTGTGTGTCTGTGTGTGTGTGCGTGTGGGGAGCGGTAGTGTAGCGGTTAGCGCTATGCTGCGCTACGATCCTGGTGACCAAAGTTCATTTCCCGCTCACGGTCAACACCGGTGACGATCATTATCTGAACCGGTCCTGGGCCTCCCCTCGGTCGACTCAGCCTGAAATGAGTACCTGGTGCAGTGTGTAAACATCGCCACTGGGGAAACAAAGGCGGCCGTGCGTGGTGATGGCCACCGACCCTTTCGTGTACCGTGCCGGCCTTCATAGGTGCTCGCTAACAGCACTTGCCCCCAATAGTCTGTGCAGGCTACACGGGGATCTTTGTCTTTGTCTGTGTGTGACCAACAGTCTATGTGCAGCTCCCGGCCATTGCTGCTTCCGACTTGCCCAACGTCATCAAGGCCGGGTTCCTTGACAAGAAGAGGAAAGGTGAGGAGCGGTCATCTCCTGGAGCATCATCATCATCATCGTCATCACGGTCATCACCTGGATCATCATCATCACGGTCATCAACTGGATCATCGTCATCACGGTCATCACCTGGATCATCATCATCACGGTCATCAACTGGATCATCGTCATCACGGTCATCACCTGGATCATCATCATCACGGTCATCACCTGGATCATCGTCATCACGAACATCACCTGGATCATCATCATCGTCATCACGGTCATCACCTGGATCATCATCATCGTCATCACAGTCATCACCTGGATCATCATCATCATCGTCATCACGGACATCACCTGGATCATCATCATCACGGTCATCACCTGGATCATCATCATCACGGTCATCACCTGGATCATCATCATCACGGACATCACCTGGATCATCGTCATCACGGTCATCACCTGGATCATCATCATCATCATCACAGATATCACCTGGATCACCATTATTGTCATCACGGTCATCACCTGGTTCATCATCATGACGGACATCACCTGGATCATCGTCATCACGAACATCACCTGGATCATCATCATCACGGTCATCACCTGGTTCATCATCATCACGGACATCACCTGGATCATCGTCATCACGGTCATCACCTGGTTCATCATCATCACGGTCATCACCTGGATCATCATCATCACGGTCATCACCTGGATCATCATCATCACGGTCATCACCTGGATCATCATCATCACGGTCATCACCTGGATCATCATCATCATCATCACGGTCATCACCTGGTTCATCATCATCACGGTCATCACCTGGATCATCATCATCATCATAACGGTCATTACCTGGATCATCGTCACCACGGTCATCACCTGGATCATCATCATCATCGTCATCACGGTCATCACCTGGATCATCATCATCGTCATCACGGTCATCACCTGGATCATCATCATCATCATCATCATCATCACGGACATCACCTGGATCATCATCATCATCATCATCCTCACGGTCATCACCTGGATCATCATCACGGGCATCACCTGGATCATCATCATCATCATCATCACGAACATCACCTGGATCATCGTCATCACGGTCATCACCTGGATCATCATCATCACGGTCATCACCTGGATCATCGTCATCACGGTCATCACCTGGATCATTGTCACCACGGTCATCACCTGGATCATCATCATCATCATCACGGTCATCACCTGGATCATCGTCATCACGGTCATCACCTGGGTCATGATCGCCTTCGTTATCATCATAATCATTATCATCATCGTCATTATCATCATAGTTATCGATATGATCATCATCGACATCGGTACGATCATTATCGTTTTGATCATCGTTCGTTATCTAAATTATCATCTTTTTTCGTCATGGTAACCATCGTCGTCGTCATCACCATCATCGTCGTCGTCATTATCGTCATGGCAACCATCGTCGTCGTCATTACCATCATCGTCGTCGTCATTATCGTCATGGAAACCATCATCGTCGTCATCACCATCATCGTCGTCGTCATAATCGTCATGGTAACCATCGTCGTCGTCATTACCATCATCGTCGTCGTCATTATCGTCATGGTAACCATCGTCATCATCATCGTCATCATCGTCGTCGTCACTATCGTCATGGTAACCATCGTCGTCGTCATGATAGGCTCACCGCCGTGCGTGTGTGGACAGATCACAACTTCTTCGTGGGTGAGTGGCAGAGGCGGTGGTGCGTCCTCAGCTCCAACGCCCTCTACTACTACGGAGACCGCAAAGGTAGTCCCGGACTCAGTCCCGCACCTCTACTACTACTACCATTACTACCACTACTACCATTACTACTACCACTACTACTACCATTACTACTACTACCACTACTACTACCTCTACTACTACTACCACTACTACCACTACTACCATTACTACTACCACTACTACTACCATTACTACTACTACTACCACTACTACTACCGCTACTACTACTAGCACTACTACTACTACCGCTACCACTACTTTTAATACCGCTACTACTACTACTACCGCTACTACTACTACCACTACTACCACTACTGCTACTACTGCTACCACTACTACTACTACCGCTACTACTACTACCGCTACTACTACTACCACTACTACTACTACCACTACTACTACTACCGCTACTACTACTACCGCTACTACTACTACCACTACTACTACTACCACTACTACTACCGCTACTACTACCGCTACTATTACTACTATCACTACTACTACTACCGCTACTACTACCGCTGTTACTACTACTACCACTACTACTACCGCTACTACTACTACTACCGCTACTACTACCGATACTACTACCGCTGTTACTACTACTACCACTACTACTACCGCTACTACTACTATCGCTACTACTACTACTACCGCTACTACTACTACCGCTACTACTACCGGTACTGCTACTACTACCGCTACTACTACTTCCGCTACTACTACTCACACTACTGCTGCTACTACTACCCCTACTACTACCGCTACTACCACCGCTACTACTACTGCTGCCACTATCACTACGACTACCGCTACTACTACGACTATTTTCTATTTTACTAATGATGACCCACAGACTCACATAGAGGCTCATAGACTCACATGGAGACGCAGACATAGAGACCCACAGACTCACAAAGAGACGCATAGACTCGCATAGGGGCTCATAGACATAGAGACCCAAAGAAACACATAGACTTACGTAGAGTTGCATAGACTCACGTAGAGACACAAAGACTCACATGGAGACGCAAAGAATAAAAAGGGACTCATAGACTCACGTAGAGACTCATAGACTCACATAGTGACTCATAGACTCACATAGAGACTCATAGACTCACATAGAGACGCATAGACTCACATAGAGACTCATAGACTCACATAGTGACTCGTAGACTCACAGAGACTCATAAACTCACATAGTGACTCATAGACTCACATAGAGACTCATAGACTCACATAGTGACTCATAGACTCACATAGAGACTCATTGACTCACATAGTGACTCATAGACTCACATAGAGACTCATAGACTCACATTGAGACTCATAGACTCACATAGGGACTCATAGACTCACATAGAGACTCACATAGAGACTCATAGACTCATATTGAGACTCATAGAGACTCATAGACTCACATAGTGACTCATAGACTCACATAGAGACTCATAGACTCACATTGAGACTCATAGACTCACATTGAGACTCATAGACTCACATAGGGACTCATAGACTCACATAGAGACTCATAGACTCACATAGAGACTCATAGACTCACATTGAGACTCATAGAGGCTCATAGACTCACATAGTGACTCACAGACTCACATAGAGACTCATAGACTCACAAATAGACTCATAGACTCACATAGAGACTCATAGACTCACATAGAGACGCATAGACTCTCATAGACTCACAAAGAGACTCATCGACTCACATAGGGACGACTAAGATAAAAACATCGAGTTGATGTTGTTGATAATGACGATGATGACGATGTTGACGATATTGATGATGATGATGAGGTTGACGATAATGACTGATCATAAGATTTACGACGATGATGAGGTTGACGATGATGAAGTTAATGATGTTAATGATGACGACGATGATGACGAGGTTCGTGATCCATGCAGCCGCGTGCCCGCGTGATGTGTAACGGCCTCCATGGAGGCCTTACCGACCCACGTCTCCCCCCCCGTTAGCCGCTCACTGGAGCCGAAAGAGGAGAGAGACCGAGGCCAGTTACTCATTCCCCCGATCGTTCAAGCTGCGTAAACAACAACAACAACAAACAGCAACACGAACGAAGCCACGCTTGCACGCTTGGGTGGAGTGCGAGGCCACTCTGCCTTCGTTGTGTGTAATGAACACGCGAATTCCACACACAAGGTGTATCCTACCACCACCATCATCACCATCATCATCATCGTGATCTCATTAAATGCCAAGCCATTCACGGATTACCCTCTATTCTTGTACAGAGGAAATTCGTTTTCACGTCCATACGGTGTACAGGAGTTTTTGATTGAATGTCTATTGGCTTGCGTTTCGCCCTTGTGATGGGACTTTGTAGGATGAGCGTTGAGATTTATAGGGGACACAGGTTGACCAATAGGGTCTGATTTGGTCTTATAAGGCACTGATAAGGGGTTGACAGGTATGGGATCATCATCATCATGATCATTTCGTCAAGGAGTAGAACACCGGTGACGATTATTTGAACCAGTCCTGGGCCTCCCCTAGGTCGACTCAGCCTCAAACGAGTACCTGTTGCGATGTGTAAACGTCGTCACTGGGGAGACAAAGACGGTCGCGCGTGGTGTTGGCCACCCACCCCCTCGTGTGCCGTGCCGGCCTTCATAGGTGCTCGCAAACAGCACTTGATCCTACAGTCTGTTACAGGCTACACGGGAGACCTTTGTCTTTGTGAGTGTGCGTGGAGACTCCACTAGAGTCGTCAGTCTCAGCAGTGATGATGACGATGATGACGATCATCATGATGACGATGATGATGATGATTACAATGGTGCTGATGATGGTGGTGATGATGATAATGATGATTTTGATGGTGGTGGTGGCGGTGGTAGTGATAATGACGACGATGATGGTGACGACGATGACGACGATGATGATGGCTATGATGGTGACGACGATGATGACGACGATGATGATGACGACGATGATGCTGACGACGATGATGACGACAATGATGGTGACGACGATGATGGCGATGATGGTGACGACGACGACGATGGTGACGATGATGATGGTGACGACGATGATGATGATGATGACGATGATGATGATGATGATGACGACGATGATGATGACGACGATGATGGTGACGACGATGATTATGACGACGATGATGATGACAATGGTGATGATGACGACGATGTTGGTGACGACGATGGTGACGATGATGACGACGATGATGGTGACGGCGATGATGGTGACGACGATGATGGTGACGACGATGATGATGATGACGACGATGATGATGACGACGATGATGATGACGACGATGATGGTGACGACGATGATGATGACGACGATGATGATGACAATGGTGATGATGACGACGATGTTGGTGACGATGATGATGATGACGATGATGATGATGACAATGGTGATGATGACGACGATGTTCACGCTGCCCCTCCGTCTTACAGACAAGCAGCAAAAGGGCGCCGTGCCTCTGGCCGGCTACTCGCTGCGCGCCACCGAGGCGAATCGCAAGGACAGGAAGAGCTGCTGCAGCTTCGAGCTGTCGGCTCACGAGAAGCGCAGCTTCCAGGTTCGACTCCGCTCCGTGAGCTGTGGGGAGCTGTGGAGCTCAGCAGCTCAGCTCAGCAGCTCAGCTCAGCAGCTCAGCTCACCAGCTCAGGCCACCAGCTCAGCTCACCAGCTCAGCTCACCAGCTCAGCAGCTCAGCTCACCAGCTTAGGCCACCAGCTCAGCTCAGCAACTCAGCAGCTCACCAGCTCAGCTCACCAGCTCAGCAGCTCAGCTCACCAGCTCAGCAGCTCAGCTCAGCACCTCAGCTCACCAGCTCACCAGCTCAGCTCACCAGCTCAGCAGCTCACCAGCTCAGCAGCTCACCAGCTCACCAGCTCAGCTCACCAGCTCAGGCCACCAGCTCAGTTCACCAGCTCAGCTCACCAGCTCAGCTCACCAGCTTAAGCCACCAGCTTAGCTCAGCAGCTCAGCTCACCAGCTCAGCTCAGCAGCTCAGCAGCTCACCAGCTCAGCAGCTCAGCAGCGTGTGTGACTCTAGACTGCGTTGTTGCTGTTGTTGGTAACAAAACGTCCACCTCGTTTCAGTTTTCCACCTCCTCCCCCGACGATGCCCGTTCGTGGATGAGTTACATCCGCCAAGTCATCCGGGGTACGTGCGGTTTGCTGTTGTTGTGGTTGCTGTTGTTGTGGCTGTTGTTGTTGTGATTGTTGTTGTGGCGGTGGTTGTTGTTGTGGCGAGTGTTGTTGTGGCAGTTGTAGCTGTTGTTGTTGATGTAGCTGTTGTTGTGCCTGTTGTTGTGGTTGTTGTTTTTGTGGCGGATGTTGTTGATGTAGCTGTTATTGTTGTTGTTGTGGCTGTTGTTGATGATGTAGGTGTTGTTGTGGCTGTTGTTGTTGTGGCGGTTGTTCTTGTTGTGGATGTTGTTGATGCAGCTGTTGTTGAGGCTGTTGTTGTTGTTGTGGTGGTTGTTGTTGCTGTTGTTGTTGATGTCGCTGTTATTGTTATGGCTGTGGCGGTTGTTGTTTATGTGGCTGTCATTGTTGTTGTTTTGGCGGTTGTTGTTAATGTAGCTGTTGTGGTTGTTTTTTGTTGTTGTAGCTGTTGTGGTGGTTGTTGTTGTGGCTCATAATATATGTTGTGTGTTGGAGAGTCAAACCGGTGGTGCTGTACTCGTGACGAATTGGCACGTTCTGCTCTCGTGACATAACGTCACTAATTGGCTGTGTCGGGTGGTGCCGGGTTTAACGACACATTTTAATATTTACGCGATCTAACCCGCCCCCCACCCCCCAAAAAAAAAACATCGTGGATGATATTGGCCGCGAAAGCCCCATTACGTGTTAAACTGTTGCTGTGGCTATTGTTGTCGTGGTGGCTGCTGTTGTTGTTGTTGTTGATGTGGCTGCTGCTGTTGTTGTTGTGGCTTAGACTTACGCTCCTCTGTGATCGAGGAAGAGGAGGACGAGGATGAGGATGGTGGGGAGCTCTACGATGACATCGATCCGATAGAGCAGGTCAAGGCCACACCGCCAGCAACCATCATGCACAAGGAGGAGGTGGTGGTGGATCCAATCGATGAGGACATCTATGAACTCCTGCCAGGTGATGATCGTGGTGGTGGTGGTGCTGGTGGTGATGATGGCGATGATAGGGTGATGATGATGATGAGAAGGTGATGATGGTCATGATCATAGTGATGATGGTGATGATGATGGTGATGATGATGATGGTGGTGGTGGTGATGATGGTGGTGGTGATGATGATGGTGATGATGGTGATGATGATGATGGTGGTAATGGTAATGATGGTAATAATGATGATGGTGGTGGTGGTGGTGATGATGATGGTGACAACGGTGGTGGTGATGATAATGATGGTTATGATGATGATGATGATAGTGATGATAATGGTGATGATGGTGATAATGATGATGGTAATAATGAGAGTGATGATGGTGATGATGGTGGTGATGGTGGTGATGGCGATGGTGGTGATGATGTTGAAGGTGGTGGTCGTAATGATGATAGTGATGATAGTAATGATGATGGTGATGATGATGGTGGTGATGATAATGGTGATGATGGTGATGATGATGGTGGTAATGATAATGATGGTAATAATGATGATGATGATGGTGGTGGTGATGATGATGGTGACAACGGTGGTGGTGATGATAATGATGGTTATGATGATGATAGTGATGATAATGGTGATGATGGTGATGATGATGGTAATAATGAGAGTGATGATGGTGATGATGATGGTGGTGATGGTGGTGATGACGATGGTGGTGATGATGATGATGATGAAGGTGGTGGTCGTAATGATGATAGTGATGATAGTAATGATGATGGTGGTGATGATGGTGGTGGTGATGATGATGATCGTGATTATGGTGGTGGTAATGATGATAGTGATGATGGTGGTGATGATTGTGATGATGGGGGTAGTAATAATGATTGTGATAGTGATTATGGTAATGATGATGGTGGTGGTGATGATGATGGTCATGATGATTACGATAGTGATGATGGTGATGATTTGGAGTAAAATAAAGCGCTGATGTTAAATGTCAGGAGGGCAAGATCACCATAACCTTCATCAGCAGAATCACCATCGTCATCATTATTATTTTGAGATGCTATGGCATCGTTCTCATGCCAATTGGGGCCGGTGCGATTAGTCAATTCAGCGAATCAATTACAATTAACTATAATTGTAATCAACTACTTTTTTTAAATGATCTATCACTCTGGGGAAGCCACAACGCTGCGTCCTGAAGATGGGAAACTCCCCCCCACCCTCCAGCAAGCCACGCCCAGTGTCACGTGGCTGGAGATGCCAGATGACATCACCCAGCACATGCCGTGCAGAGGGCCGGGACCGGTTCAGATATTCGTCACCAATGTTGGCCCTGAGCGAGAATCGAACTCGTCAGGATCGCTCATCACTGTGCGTCCACTTCTCATCCACTCACCACCACCACCCATCACCACCCACCACCACCCATCACCACCCACCACTCAACTCACCACCCACCATCACCCATCATCACCCATCACCACCCACCATCACCCATCACCACCCACCATCACCCAACTCACCACTCACCACCCAACTCACCGCCCACCATTACCCAACTCACCACCCACCATCACCCATCACCACCCACCATCACCCAACTCACCACCACCACCCATCACCACCCACGATCACCCACCTCACCACCCACCACTCAACTCACCACCCACCATCACCCAACTCACCACCCACCATCACCCAACTCACCACCCACCACTCAACTCACCACCCACCATCACCCAACTCACCACTCACCACCCAACTCATCACCCACCACTCAACTCACCACCCACCATCACCCATCTCACCACCCACCACCACCCATCACCACCCACCATCACCCAACTCACCACCCACCACTCAACTCACCACCCACCATCACCCAACTCACCACCACCATCACCCATCACCACCCACCATCACCCAACTCACTACCCACCATCACCCATCTCACCACCACCCATCTCACCACCCACCACCCAACTCACCACCCACCACTCAACTCACCACCCACCATCACCCATCTCACCACCACCCAACTCACCACCCACCACTCAACTCACCACCCACCATCACCCATCTCACCACCACCACCCAACTCAAAACCCACCACCCACCACTCAACTCACCACCCACCATCACCCATCTCACCACCACCACCCAACTCACTACCCACCACTCAACTCACCACCCGCCATTACCCATCTCATCACCACCACCACCCAACTCACCACCCACCACTCAACTCACCACCCACCATCACCCATCTCACTACCACCACCCAACTCACCACCCACCACTCAACTCACCACCCACCATCACCCAACTCACCACCCACCACTCAATTCACCACTCACCATCACCTAACTCACCACTCACCACCCAACTCACCACCCACCATCACCCAACTCACCACCCACCACTCAACTCACCACCCACCATCACCCATCTCACCACCCACCACCACCCATCACCACCCACCATCACCCAACTCACCACCCACCACTCAACTCACCACCCACCATCACCCAACTCACTACCCACCATCACCCATCTCACCACCACCACCCAACTCACCACCCACCACTCAACTCACCACCCACAATCACCCATCTCACCACCACCCAACTCACCACCCACCACTCAACTCACCACCCACCATTACCCATCTCACCACCACCACCCAACTCACCACCCACCACTCAACTCACCACCCACCATCACCCATCTCACCACCCACCACCCAACTCACCACCCACCATCACCCATCACCACCCACCATCACCCATCACCACCCACCATCACCCAACACATCACCCACCACTCAACTCACCACCCACCACTCAACTCACCACCCACCATCACCCATCTCACCACCCGCCACCCAACTCACCACCACCCAACTCACCACCACCCAACTTACCACCCACCACTCAACTCACCACCCACCATCACCCATCTCACCACCCGCCACCCAACTCACCACCACCCAACTCACCACCACCCACCATCACCCATCTCACCACCCACCACCCAACTCACCACCCACCACTCAACTCACCACCCACCATCACCCATCTCACCACCCACCACCCAACTCACCACCCACCATCACCCATCACCACCCACCATCACCCATCACCACCCACCATCACCCAACACATCACCCACCACTCAACTCACCACCCACCACTCAACTCACCACCCACCATCACCCATCTCACCACCCGCCACCCAACTCACCACCACCCAACTCACCACCACCCAACTTACCACCCACCACTCAACTCACCACCCACCATCACCCATCTCACCACCCGCCACCCAACTCACCACCACCCAACTCACCACCACCCACCATCACCCATCTCACCACCCACCACCCAACTCACCACCCACCACTCAACTCACCACCCACCATCACCCATCACCACCCACCATCACCCAACACATCACCCACCACTCAACTCACCACCCACCACTCAACTCACCACCTACCATCACCCATCACCACCCACCATCACCCAACACATCACCCACCACCCAACTCACCACCCACCACTCAACTCACCACCCACCATCACCCATCACCACCCACCATCACCCAACACATCACCCACCACTCAACTCACCACCCACCACTCAACTCACCACCTACCATCACCCATCACCACCCACCATCACCCAACACATCACCCACCACCCAACTCACCACCCACCACTCAACTCACCACCCACCATCACCCATCACCACCCACCATCACCCAACACATCACCCACCACTCAACTCACCACCCACCACTCAACTCACCACCCACCATCACCCATCTCACCACCACCACCACCCATCTCACCACCACCACCCAACTCACCGTTCACCACCCACCACCCATTTTGAGAATTCACCACTCACTACCTCCACCCATCTCACCACCCATCCCAGCATGCACCCCCACCCCCCACCCACCGCTCGCTATTCACAAACTCGACGTGACAGCAGCGAGCCCGAGAGATGATTGCGCGATCGGGACGACGTTCCGGCTGCGCGCCCCCTCGCTCCGCGGGTTGCCCGTGTGGGGATGACGCAGAGTGCCACGGACAGCGGGGAGCGGGACAAGTGACCCCTCCCTTCACCCCCCAATCTCCCTCCATCCCCCCCTCTCCCTCCCCCCTCCCTCCACTCCCTCCCTCCATCCCCCCTCTCCCTCCCCCCTCCCTCCATCCCCCCTCTCCCTCCCCTCTCCATCACCCCCTCTCCCTCCCACCTCCCTCCATTCCCCCCCTCCCTCCATCGCCCCCTCTCCCTCCATCCCCTCTCTACCTCCCACCTCCCCCCTTCCATCCCCCCTCTCCCTCCCACCTTCCTCCATCCCCCCCCCTCTCCCTCCCTCTCCCCCCTCTCCCCCTCCCTCCCTCCCTCTCTACCAAAGCCCCACCACCCCGCACCGGCCGTGTGAGTATCAGGAATTCTCTCCCCAGGGCGTCTCTGTCCCATGAAGTTTTTGCCACAAAAATTGTTTTTGTGGCCTTGGGTTTCAAAACAACGGCTCGGTCTCGTGCCCCACTGCGCAGTGATACGGGGGGGGGGGGCAGAGGGCGGAGCTACACGAGCAGTGGGTGGGGCTAGCTGGGTGGTGGGCGGGGCTAGCTGGGCGATGGTCGGGGCGAGCATGGTGGTAGGCGGAGTTACGTGGGTGGTGGGTGGGGCTAGCTGGGTGGTGGGTGGGGCTAGCTGGGCGATGGTCGGGGCGAGCATGGTGGTAGGCGGAGTTACGTGGGTGGTGGGTGGGGCTAGCTGGGTGGTGGGTGGGGCTAGCTGGGCGGTGGGCGGGGCTTTCTGGGTGGTGGGCGGGGGGAAGCTGGGTAGTGGGCGAGGCTGCCTGAGTTTCAGGTTATTTATTTTGGTATAGCCCTGTGAGCCATTCGGCTCTTGAATCGGGTGCAACCACAACAAACAAAAAAACAAAAACACGAACAAGAAAAACATCTTAAAGTGACTTTGTGACTGTGCAAACAGAAAATCCCAGAATAAAAAAGCAAAATTTTCCTGAAAAAAGCACCGTACAACAACGCTGTGCAAAAAATCCCAGTGGGATGCAAGTCAAACAACAACAACAACCACAAGACAACTTAGATTAAGGCCATCAGTGTAACTCCGTACTACAACAAAACAAACATGTCCAAACCAAAAAAACGTTTTCCAAATCACCAAAAAATAAAGCCATAATTGCAACATAACAGTGATCAAAGGGACTGTGACCGAATCTTTACAATAAACTACATAAATAACATGTAACACCAAATACTAGAGCCATAGCTGGCTGCATGAGTTACTCCACAACAACAGAGGCATCAGTCGGAGTATCAAATTTTTCAATGCACCTTTAAGATCAGCACGCTAAATCAAAATACAGATAATACTTTGCAGCGTCATCCGGAGCAAAACATTTTATTTTATTTTACGCCCATGAACAGCAATGGCAGCTAGGGGTGTACAACTCCTCTAGAGCAGTTTTGAGAGAAGATCTCATTGGTAGCGATTCAAGTTGCAGTTTATTGGCAATAGCATTCCAGACTCTGGGGGCATCAATAGCAAAGGCCCTTCCTCCAGTTTTTGTACGGCAATAGGGAATGTGAAGCTGGTAAATGAGCGAAGACCTGAGGTCAAATTAGTTCTTTGAAACAGAGAGGAGATCCAGCAGGTAGTCTGCGGATTCTTTTGTAAGTACATCGTGAATAAATAAGATATGGTGCAAAAGCCGTCGAACATTAAGAGATGTTAAGTTTGACCCAATGTAGAGATCACAGTGGTGAGTCCTATATGGGCAGTTCAATGTAAATCTTAAGGCCGAGTGATAGATGGAATCAATTCTAGATTTAAAGCTTTCGTGACTGCTAGGATCCATACTCTTTGGTTCTATTGGGTAAAGTCACGTAGGTGAAAATAAAATAACAAAAAATCACGATGAAGGCCGCTTGTGTTGTGGCCGAAACGTCGTGATTTTTTGTTATTTTATTTTCACCTACGTGACTTTACCCAATAGAACCAAAGAAGATGGAATCAAGCTTCTTCAGTACAGTACTTGGGGCTGATTTATACACGATGTCACAGTAGTCAAGTAGAGGCAGTGTGGTAGCTTTTATCAATTCCAAACGGAACATTGGGGGGAAGCAGTGCTTGTGTCGATACAGAAAACCAATTTTTATTTTAGTCTTTTTACCAATATAATCAATGTGATCTTCAAAATTAAGTTTTGAATTCAGGATGACCCCAAGATACTTATAGATCTTGACTTGCTCTATTTGATAATTATTTAAGGAATGTAATTGGGGAAAAATAACTTTCCTGCTTTAGTCCCGGTGAGAAGCATAGCACCTTAGTTTTGGAGGTATTCAGGACTAGTTTAAGAGCAACTAGCTGATGTTGTAGTTTGTTGAAATCACCCTGTAGCTTAGCAATCACGTCATCCGGAGAGCGGCCAGCAGTAATCAGTATCGTGTCATCTGCAAAAAGATTTACCCTGGAGTGTGATCTTCAAAATTCAGTTTTGAATCCAGGATGACCCCAAGATACTTATAGATCTTGACTTGCTCTATTTGATGATTATTTAAGAAATGTAATTGGGGAAAAATAACTTTCCTTCTTTAGTCCCGGTGAGAAGCATAGCACCTTGGTTTTGGAGGTATTCAGGACTAGTTTAAGAGCAACTAGCTGATGTTGTAGTTTGTTGAAATCACCCTGTAGCTTAGCAATCACGTCATCCGGAGAGCGGCCAGCAGTAATCAGTATCGTGTCATCTGCAAAAAGATTTACCCTGGAGTGATCCAGGTCAGTGCCCGAGTCATTGACATAGAGAGGGAGCAAAGCAGTGGGCGGGGATACTTGAATAGTGGGCGGAACTACATGGGCAGTGGGTGGGACTACTCGTGAAGTGGGCGGGACTACGTGAGTAGTAGGCGGAAACTACTTGGATAGAGGGCGGGGCTACTTGATTAGTGGGCGGGGTTGCCTGAGAAGTGGGCGGTGGCGGGGCAAATGTGAGTGGCCGGAGGGGGGGGGGGGAAGAACTTCATCCACTCATCCAGCAGTGGATTGATCATGACTGCTGCCGGCTGATGATGTTGACCGCATCGTCTTTTTTTAATTTTTGTTTTCGTCTCCGACAGAAGACGACGAGGAGCCGGTGGCGGTGACGCGGACTGACGCAGCCAAAGCGGCCCAAGCCCCACCACCTCCCGTTGCCTCCAAGCCCGAGCTGAACTCAGCCACTGAAGGTAGCGGAGCGCGTGGCGCTGCGACTGAACGGTGATAGGCGGGCCACCCCACCGTGCCACCCCACCCGAGTTCCACTCCCGCTCGCGGCCACCAACACCAGCGAGGAGTATCCCAACCGCTCCTGTGCACGCACCCCGCCCCCCACCCCACCCCAGCCTCATAATAGCACGTGGATGCGATGTGCAAACATCAGACTCACACAGAGACTCACATGGAGAACCACACTCACACATAGACTCACACAGAGACCCAGAGACTCACACGGAGACCCAGAGACTCACACGGAGACCCAGAGACTCACACGGAGACCCAGAGACTCACATGGAGACCCACGTTCACACAGAGACACATAGACTCGCACAGAGACCCAGAGACTCGCACAGAGACCCGCACTCACACAGAGACCCATAGACTCATGCAGAGACCCATAGACTCACATAGAGACCCAGAGACTCACACGGAGACCCAGAGACGCACATGGAGACCCACGCTCACACAGAGTCCCATAGACTCACACAGAGACCCATAGACTCATGCAGAGACCCAGAGACTCGCACAGAGACCCACACTCACACAGAGACCCAGACTCACACAGAGACTCGCACAGAGACCCACACTCACACAGAGACCCATAGACTCACAGAGACCCATAGACTCACACGGAGACCCACAGACTCACACGATGACCCACAGACTCACACATACCCACGATGCACATGGAAACCCAGACTCCATTTGTCTTTCTGTCCATCTTCCTATCTCATCAAATTGTTTCTCTGCTCATCTCCATATCTCATGGATCCATCCACCCACTTCTCTCTCTCTCTCTCCATCTCCCCCATCCCATCTATCGCACCCGCTTCTCCCTGTGTCTCTCCACGCATCCCTCCGTCCGTCCGTCCGTCTATCCGCGTGCTCCCCTTCAGCGTGGGACGCGACGCAGCAGTACAACAACTTCTACCAGGGCCTGTGGGACTGCTCGGCCGACTGCGTTGACGAGCTGTCCTTTCAGCGCGGAGACCTCGTCCACGTGCTCAGCAAGGTGCAGCGCCGCGCGCCACCGGTTCCAGCACCACCTCTAAGAAAGAAAAAAAACAAGTCCATTGCCTCAGTTGGGCTCTGCGTGGTGGGCTGGGGCTTGGGTTTTAATCTGATATGATGCCGGTTGTAACTAGTGGCGAAACGTCGTATTTTTAGAGTGTGGCTTTTGTGGGTTTTACTCTCCAACACACAACCGGTGGCGCTGTGCTGGTCACGGATTGGCCACGTTCTGGCTACGTGACAACCCCTTACTAGTTGGCTGTGTCGGGTGGTGGCGGGTTTTAACGACACATTGATATTTGGACGCGATCTAACCGCCCCCCCCCCCAAAAAAAAAACTGGATGGGTTTTAGTTTTGATTCGACTCGTGTGAATGTTGTTTGGGTGCTTTGTTAACCTTTTATTGTTTACTTTGCACTCCTATCGTGTTTTTTATTGTTGTAACGGCACTGCTGCTGGACATCTATGAAAGAAAGAGCTTGATAGCTTATCGAATTCCTCCTGCAGTAAAAACACAAACTCCGATGATGATTATTTCACACGGTACGTAGCCAACCGCGGAGGTGCAGGGGAAGGACAACAAACTACGGGTCTCTGTGTGAGTCTATGGGTCTCTGTGTGAGTCTATGGGTCTCTGTGTGAGTCTATGGGTCTCTGTGTGTGTCTATGTGTCTCTGTGTGAGTCTATTGGTCTATGTGTGGGTCTTTGTGTGTCTGTGTCTCTGTGTGAGTCTATGGGTCTCTGTGTGAGTCTATGGGTCTCTGTGTGAGTCTATGGGTCTCTGTGTGTGTCTATGTGTCTCTGTGTGAGTCTATTGGTCTATGTGTGGGTCTTTGTGTGTGTCTGTGTCTCTGTGTAAGTCTATGGGTCTCTGTGTGAGTCTATGGGTCTCTGTGTGAGTCTATGGGTCTCTGTTTGAGTCTATGGGTCTCTGTGTGATTCTATGGGTCTCTGTGTGAGTCTACGGGTCTCTGTGTGAGTATATGGGTCTCTGTGTGAGTCTATGGGTCTCCGTGTGAGTCTATAGGTCTCTGTGTGAGTCGATGGGTCTCTGTGTGAGTCTATGGGTCTGTGTGTGTGTCTATGGGTCTCTGTGTGAGTGTATGGGTCTCTGTGAGTCTAGGGGACTCTGTGTGAGTCTATGTGTCTCTGTGTGAGTCGATGGGTCTCTGTGTGAGTCTATGGGTCTCTGTGTGAGTCTATGTGTCTCTGTGTGAGTCGATGGGTCTCTGTGTGAGTCTATGGGTCTCTGTGTGAGTCTATGGGTCTCTGTGTGTCTATGGGTCTCTGTGTGAGTCTATGGGTCTCTGTGTGAGTCTATGTGTCTCTGTGTGAGTCGATGGGTCTCTGTGTGAGTCGATGGGTCTCTGTGTGTGTCTATGGGTCTCTGTGTGGGTCTATGGGTCTCTGTGTGAGTCTATATGTCTCTGTGTGAGTCTATGTGTCTCCGTGTGAGTCTATTGGTCTATGTGTGAGTCTATGGGTCTCTGTGTGGGTCTATGGGTCTCTGTGTGAGTCTATGTGTCTCTGTGTGAGTCTATGGGTCTCTGTGTGAGTCTATGGTCTCTGTGTGCGTCTATGGGTCTCTGTGTGAGTCTATGTGTCCCTGTGTGAGTCTATGTGTCTCCGTGTGAGTCTATGGGTCTCTGTGTGAATCTATGGGTCTCTGTGTGAGTCTATGGGTCTCTGTGTGAGTCTATGGGTCTCTGTGTTAGTCTATGTGTCTCTGTGTGAATATATGGGTCTCTGTGTGAGTCGATGGGTCTCTGTGTGAGTCTCTGTACATATGTTGAACTTCTTTCACATTTTACGTAGCCAACCGTGCTCATCGGAGGTGCACGGTGGAAGGACAACAGACTATGAACACCACGACGGAGCAGTTCTAAAGTAATGAGTTGATGTTCGTCTCATCCTGGCCACCGACGCACAGAAAAGCCACCGTTATATTTTTGGGTGGTTTGCAATTTCATTGAGCGAACTCGAGCCGTGAGAATTTAGAGGCGTTGGGTTCCGACTGCGACGCGACACACACAGCCCCGTGTCGGAGGGACAGGGCCCACCGCTCCCTCTCACTCCCTCTCACTCTCTCTCTCTGAGGTCAGCACAATCGCTCTCCTTCACTCGTCACCTTCCCACAGACTGCGTCCCTCCAGCGATGAGACTCATTCGTCAACGTTCGATCCAAATCACCCATCGCCCACCCTCCCTCCCTCCCCTCCATCCCTCCTTCACCTCCCCTCCTTCTGTCCCCTCCCTCCCCTCCCCTCCTTCCCAATTGCCTGCATACCAGGCGAGGTAGTTAACATCTCCTAGCTACCTTGATGATGATGATGAGAGAGAGACACGGAAAGTCCAACTATACAGCGGGCGTCAGTGTCGGGATCGAACCCACGACCTCCTGTATACCAGGCGAGGTAGTTAACATCTCCTAGCCACCGTGATGATGAGAGAGACACGCAGACTCCAAATATACAGCTGCAGGCGTCAGTGTCGGGATCGAACCCACGACCTCCTGTATACCAGGCGAGGTAGTTAACATCTCATAGCCACCGTGACACCCCACGGGAGCGCGTGGGTTCGACCCCGACCCCTGACGAAGCGTAGCTAACCCACCCTCACCCCCACCACGTCCCACCCCCCCACCGCCTCTGTACCCCCCCCCCCCCCCCGCAAGGAGTACGATGCGTTCCGCTGGTGGGTGGGAGAGGCGAACGGCTCCGTGGGCCTGGTCCCCAAGGACTACCTCATGGCGGCCTACGACACCTAGAGCACGCCACGCGGACTCTCCCCCACGTGACACTCCCCCACGTGACTCTCCCGCACGCGACTCTCCCCCACTTGACTCTCCCCCACGTGACTCTCCACCATGCCACTCTCCCCCACGTGACTCTCCCCCACGCGACTCTCCCCCACGTGGACTCTCCCCCACGTGACTCTCCCCCACGCGACTCTCCCGCTCGCGACTCTCCCCCACGCGACTCTCCCCCACGTGACTCTCCCGCACGTGACTCTCCCGCACGTGACTCTCCCCCACGCGACTCTCCCCCACGTGACTCTCCCGCACGCGACTCTCCCGCACGTGACTCTCCCCCACGTGACTCTCCCCCACGTGACTCTCCCCCACGCGACTCTCCCCCACGTGACTCTCCCCCACGTGACTCTCCCCCTCGTGACTCTCCCTCACGTGACTCTCCCCCACGTGACTCTCCCCCACGTGACTCTCCCGCACGCCACTCTCCCGCTCGCGACTCTCCCCCACTTGACTCTCCCCCACGTGACTCTCCCCCACGTGACTCTCCCGCACGTGACTCTCCCGCACGTGACTCTCCCGCACGTGACTCTCCCCCACGTGACTCTCCCCCACGCGACTCTCCCCCACGTGACTCTCCCGCACGCGACTCTCCCGCACGTGACTCTCCCCCACGCGACTCTCCCGCACGTGACTCTCCCCCACGCGACTCTCCCGCACGCGACTCTCCCGCACGTGACTCTCAAATAGTGACGACCCCAAATAGTGACAACACCAAACCCCATCCTCGTCGTGCTGCTGCTGTTGCTGCTGTTGCTCCTGCTGCTGCTGCTGTTGCTCCTGCTCCTGTTGCTCCTGTTGCTGCTGTTGTTGCTGTTGCTCCTGTTGCTGCTGTTGTTGCTGTCACAAACCCCCGCAACGGCTTTAAACGGCAGGGGCGGCCCCTCGCCCAGCCCACGCCGACCGATGTCTCGTCGACGCGGACAGCGGCCCACGCACTGCCCGATTATGGCAGTAGCAAAAGTGGCTACTACATAAATAGTAGTAGCTACTACTACATAAATAGTAGTAGCTACTACTACATAAATAGTAGTAGCTACTACTACATAAATAGTAGTAGCTACTACTACATAAATAGTAGTAGCTACTACTACATAAATAGTAGTAGCTACTACACGTGTACATGTGTAGTAGCTACTACAACATAAATAGTAGCTACTACATGTGTAGTAGCTACTACTACATAAATAGTAGTAGCTACTACTACATATGTAGTAGTAGCTACTACATGTGTACATGTGTAGTAGCTACTACAACATAAATAGTAGCTACTACATGTGTAGTAGCTACTACTACATAAATAGTAGTTACTACATGTGTAGTACTACATGTGTAGTAGTAGCTACTACATAAATAGTAGTAGCTACTACATGTGTAGCAGCTACTACAACATAAATAGTAGTAGCTACTACATAAATAGTAGTAGCTACTACATAAATAGTAGTAGCTACTACATAAATAGTAGTAGCTACTACATGTGTAGTAGCTACTACAACATAAATAGTAGCTACTACATGTGTAGTAGCTACTACTACATAAATAGTAGTTACTACATGTGTAGTAGCTACTACAACATAAATAGTAGTAGCTACTACATAAATAGTAGTAGCTACTACATGTGTAGTAGTAGCTACTACATAAATAGTAGTAGCTACTACATGTGTAGCAGCTACTACAACATAAATAGTAGTAGCTACTACATAAATAGTAGTAGCTACTACATAAATAGTAGTAGCTACTACATGTGTAGTAGCTACTACACATGTAGTAGCTACTACAACATAAATAGTAGTAGCTACTACATGTGTAGTAGTAGCTACTACATAAATAGTAGTAGCTACTACATGTGTAGCAGCTACTACAACATAAATAGTAGTAGCTACTACATAAATAGTAGTAGCTACTACATAAATAGTAGTAGCTACTACATGTGTAGTAGCTACTACATGTGTACATGTGTAGTAGCTACTACAACATAAATAGTAGTAGCTACTACATGTGTAGTAGTAGCTACTACATATGTAGTAGCTACTACATGTGTAGTAGTAGCTACTACACATGTAGTAGTAGCTACTACATATGTACTACAAATGTAGTAGCCACGAACCCCGCATTTTCAAGGGCCCCGCGCTAAATGCTTTCAAGCTATCAATTCCGGTATCAGTGACTCTGCACTTGCTTTACTACTATAGTACTATATTGCCTTCGACTTTTACGAACGACTGGGTGTTTAAGGTTAGGCATTTGTCTACCATCTGGCTGTATAGAAAATAAAAAAAAATACAATTACCTTCCTATGCAAGTGGAAAATGCGTGTTTTAATTTAGAGCCCCTTTATAACATCACGTGCTACAGGCCTCGCACTTAGCTTCATCCGGCACTGGGCCTGCGCCTCTGAAACTGAGTGAAGAAAATCAAACCCTTATCCTGACCCTGACCCTCCAACAATGACCCTGACCCCAGTGCTGACCCACTACCCCCCCCCCCCACCACTCACCCCTCCACCACCAAACCCCCCCACCGCCCCCCCCCCTTCATCCTCGCAGCAGCAGCGGCGGCTTTTGGCTCGACCGCGGCACAAGGACGGCGCCCTCGCGCACGCGCGCTCCTGCGGACGTCTGGAACGCTCTGCCCACCGCCAACAAACGGCACGCTCCGTTGGCTTACAGCATTGGGCCCCGACACGAAGTGGGGTGTTGGGCTTGAGGGGAGGGGAGACCCTTTAATGGCATCATCAGTGTACCCCCATGACCTGCCCACAGGGCTTCTCGCCGAGGCTGGGCTCTGGCAGAAGAACTTAATTGAGAGATGAATTAGGGAAGAGACTTAAGGCGGCCGATACTAATTGTCCTCGGGGCGAGTTGTGGTGTCGCGTTTTGCTACAGGGATGTGGGGGTGTTGGAGGAGGAGGAGGAGGAAGGGGGGTAGGCAAATGGTGAACAATCGTCAACTCGCTTTTCGCGCTCCACGTGAGTTTGTGTGTGCTGGGAGCTGCGTTGAGCTGAGTTCTGTTGCGAGTTGGACGAGGAGTCTGTGCGTGTTGTGCTGCGTAGCCAATGGTCACATTGAGAAGGCGTTCTCGCTACACGGAGACCCACAGACTCACACAGAGACCCACACTCACACAGAGACCCACACTCAGACAGAGACTCACACAGAGACCCACACTCAGACAGAGACTCACACAGAGACCCACAGACTCACACAGAGACCCACAGACTCACACAGAGACCCGCAGACTCACACAGAGACCCGCAGACTCACACAGAGACCCACAGACTCACACAGAGACCCACAGACTCACACAGAGACCCACAGACTCACACAGAGACCCGCAGACTCACACAGAGACCCGCAGACTCACACAAAGACCCACAGACTCACACAGAGACCCACAGACTCACACAGAGACCCACAGACTCACACAGAGACCCACACTCACACAGAGACCCACACTCACACAGAGACCCACAGACTCACACAGAGACCCACAGACTCACACAGAGACCCGCAGACTCACACAAAGACCCACAGACTCACACAGAGACCCACAGACTCACACAGAGACCCACAGACTCACACAGAGACCCACTCACACAGAGACCCACACTCACACAGAGACCTACACTCACACAGAGACCCACAGACTCACACAGAGACCCACAGACTCACACAGAGACCCACAGACTCACACAGAGACCCACAGACTCACACAGAGACCCACAGACTCACACAGAGACCCGCAGACTCACACAAAGACCCACAGACTCACACAGAGACCCACAGACTCACACAGAGACCCACAGACTCACACAGAGACCCACTCACACAGAGACCCACACTCACACAGAGACCTACACTCACACAGAGACCCACAGACTCACACAGAGACCCACAGACTCACACAGAGACCCACAGACTCACACAGAGACCCACAGACTCACACAGAGACCCACAGACTCACACAGAGACCCACTCACACAGAGACCCACAGACTCACACAGAGACCCACAGACTCACACAGAGACCCACAGACTGACACAGAGACCCACAGACTCACACAGAGACCGACACTCACATAGAGACCCACAGACTCGCACAGAGACCCACACTCACACGCAGAGACCCGCAGTCTCGTGTGGCGTGTCGGCCTTCATAGGTGGTGCTACTCACGAACAGCATTTGCCCCCAACGGGCTGTTACAGGCTATACGGCGAACCTTTTTCTGTGTACGCGTCGCAACAAATAAAGAAAAAGATCCCCCATAAAGCCTTAACAGACTGTTGGGGCAAGTGCTGTTAGCGAGCGCCTACGAAGACCGGCACGGCACACGAGGGGGTGGGTGGCCAACACCCACGCCCGACCGCCTTTGTCTCCCCCAGAGGCCGGGTCGACCTAGGTGTGGGGGGGGGGGGCAGGACCGGTTAAGATAATCGTCACCGGTGTTGGTGGCCGTGAGCAGGAATCGAACTCGGGTCACCGGGGTTCGCAGCCCAGCCTAGCGCTGGCCGCTACTACACTACCGCTCCCCACGCTCGCAAACCACGCACCCACGTGGCTCCCCATCCACCATCCCCAGAATTAAACGAGGAGACTTCTCCGGCCTTTCGTTTCCTCTCTCTCTTCCGTGTCCCTTTACTTTCCCGGCACGCCAAGGTTAATTAGATTTCCTTGACTTTGTGGGGGGGGGGGGGCGGTGAGGGAATCGCACTAATTAAAGCCCCTTAATGAACCTTCTTTGAGAAATTAAAGAGGCAGCAATTCTATCGCAGGCGTCCACACGCCGTGCGTCTTACCAACACGTTTTTTCTGCTGCCGCCGCCGCCGCTACCGCCGCCGCTGCTTCTGCTGAAGAGAATGATGACGGTGGTGGTGGTGGTGGGAGTGGGGAGGGTGGGGGGGGAAAGCAGCCCCCCACCCCCCCCGACTTCTTTAAATAATTTTTTTTTGTGCTGAGCGAGAGATAAATTAGGATAATTGATGTCACCTTCTTACACGCGGAACGTGTCACCTTCTTACACGCGGAAAGTGTCAC